AATATTTATTAGATACCTGTTCTGTGCCCTCAAAGGCACGAGGCTATGCGCTGGGGAGGCAGTGATCAATATTACCACGTAGAGGCCCTGATCTCAAGGAGCTAAGTGGCTCATGGGAGCCACGTCCACCAAATAATAACACACATTGTGGTGCATAAACAATGGGTTTCGGAGCATGGAAAAAAAATTAAATATAAAAAAGTTAAAAAATAAAAAAAATAACAACACACGTATATAATAAAACAGTAGTGACAACCAGCACAGAGAGAGGTGTGTGGTCTTACGAGGATATGTGAGAAGGGGACTTGACCTAGTCTAGGAAGTCCAATAGGATTTCCCTGAGGAAGGGTCAGTCGAGCTAAAATCAGAAGTGAGGTTTGGGGTGAACTAAACAAAGGCAGGGTGGGAGGAGGGGAGGTCGGCTGGGAGGGACAAGGCAGGCAGGCTGGTCCAGGCAGGGAGAAGATGTCAATCTCTACGTGTTTTATCATCAAGTTTTCCTGACCTAGCACAAAAAGTTAGCTCATAAAGACATTCAATGGATGAGTTAGAATAAATCGTCCTATTCTGCCTATAGATTCTTCCAACTTAAGAAATTTTTCCTGCACCAAGAGTCACCCTCTGCATTCTGTTCTGTAATCAAGCAGATGGCGCCAACCTTTACTGTTTTATGAACCCAAATCCGTACTCTAAGAGTCATAAATATTATAGTTAAGCAAGTAAAAATCAAATTTCCATGTTACTTTGCTTGGTTATGGGACATCTGGCATGAGTAATTTATCTTCGCTTCTGTTGGAAATCGAAACCAGCTTAGTCTTTATTATGCTGGCCATAAACACTTTGCAAATTACGATTTTTACTTTGCCATTAGTTATATTTTGGGGTAAGACAAATTACTGGGTCATCTACTTCCTTTTGGCATTTAGTAATTCTCTTTCACAATAAAAATCCATTTCTCTTGTTTCACGGTCCCTAAGAACCCACCCACATTAACTACAAAAAAACCATTTCACTACTGCTAAATGTTACTCTGAGGGTGACTCACACTGTCACACAGCAGCTCCTACAACCTTCCAGAGCATTGAGAAAATGTTTCATCTCGGTTTTAGTGTTAACTGTAAAAGAACAAGGTGAGTTTTGATCTGTGGCTTGAACCACCACAAGTAAACTCCCCGGTTCACCACAGCCCGTAAGCCGTGTGCCAGAAAGCCCGCTGGACAGAACTAAGTTTGAACCCCCGCTCTACCAGGAACTGGCTGTGGGTCAGTCACTGAAAGTCTCTTAGCATCAGAAAAAAAAGCGAGATTCTTGTGAAAAGAAATAAAATGTCCGTGAAAGCTGCTTAATGAATGCGTATAATTTAATTAGGTTTCCGTTCTCCAAAGGCAATGGGGTGGAGTAGAATCTCCTTAACTAGGACACCAGTTCCATGAAAGCAGAGACCGTGCTGGTCCGGGCCACTGTCTCAACATCAATGCCTAGCATGATGCCCGGCCCTGAGTTGGAGTTCAACTGATTTTGGTTGAGTCGTTGAAGGTTGAAGAATTTCAAGTTTTCAAGATTTTTCATTTTCTTTTTTTTTATAATTTTTTTTTAAGATTTTATTCATTTATTTGACAGAGAAAGGTCACATGTAGGCAGAGAGGCAGGCGCGGTGGGGCGGGGGGCAGGCTCTCCACTGAGCAGAGAGCCTGATGCGGAGCTCGATCTCAGGACCCTGGGATCATGACCTGAGCCGAAGGCAGAGACTTAACCCACTGAGCCACCCAGGCGCCCCAAGATTTTTCATTTTCGTGTTCATTTTCCAACCTCTGAATGCTTAACATTCCTGGTGTTTCTAGTTACCTACTGGTTTTTCCAATAGGCTTCCTTTTGGCCAAACCAGCCAAGTTGATTTCTGTGGTTTGCATCCAGTGATCAGGGTCCTGGTCCACTGCTCCTGCCCCTGACTTTGGTGTCCCGATATGAACCAACCCTTTAAACACTGTTTCCAGAGATATATTTCAAATGGACGTTCGCACAGTTCTCCAAATCTCTTCTTCAGGATGGTCAACGTGTTCCACGATTCTTTGGCGTCCTTGGCAATTCTCTAGAGTTGCATAGTCTTTAATGAAGTCAGATTACATTCCCATTCATCACTCTCTGGCTCTTTCCCAAACCCCAAAGTAACTTTCTTGCTCATCTGCTCTTCTTGACTCTACCCTCATTTCCTCTTAGGCTTTGTGAGATTTAATAAGCTTTTATTGGGCACAAACTACGAGCCAGGTATAATGGCAAGGACAAGGATCCAAAGCTGAGTGAGAGAGTCATCACCTGCGTGAAGATAACAGTCGATGGAATAAAACGTAAAGTCGATTCACGCCAAGACAGTCAACAGAAGCCATCACGCCTCTCAGAGCAAGGAAGGAGATACTGGAGACCTATTATGGCTTTGGGATTTGACGCTTTGTGACACAGCATTCTGCAGCCAAGAGATGCCTTCCTCTGCCCGTGTTCACTGTGCTCCAGGACATGGGGCCAGGGGCTTGCCAAGCTCGCTTTATTTCTCTGTCGTCCTTTTGAGGTTGTGAGTCTATCTACCTCCATGTGTACGTGTATACCAACACTTCCTTTTTTTTTTTTTAAGATTTTATTTATTTGACAGACAGAGATCACAAGTAGGCGAAGAGGCAGGGGGAAGCAGGCTCCCTGCCAAGCAGAGAGCCCGACTCAGGGCTCAATCCCAGGACCCAGGATCCCAGCCCGACTCGGGGCTCGATCCTAGGGATCATGACCCGAGCAAAGGCAGAGGCTTTAACCCACTGAGCCACCCAGGTGCCCTGCCAACACTTCCTTTGTCATACATGAACAACCGGAAAGACCTTCTGGAACGTATAGCTTGAGACAACAGCGAGCTGCCCCGCCGAACGTGACCGTGGTCACTTGCTCCCTCGAACTGTTTTTTTGTACTTGTGTCCCTGCTCCACAGAGAACAACACTGGCATGTTTTTCCCCCCTACATTCTCACCGCTGCCTAGAATCCATCATGACAAAGAGAGGTCTTAAAAACGGCCCTCGAGGGAGACATTATTTCCTTCCCATTTCTCTCTCAGAAAGAGCAAGTTATAATACGAGGGTGGGGGGAATTGCATTTAGGTTAAAGGATCGTAAATAACAAGAAAGAGTCTGCTTCTTCCCACCCCACCGCACCCCCAAAGATGCTAAGCCTTGGAAGGACTCTTGATTTTTTTAAAAAAGGGTCACCACCCCTTGGCTTGCTCTAAACATTAATATTATATACCTGGTAATAAAGCTAGAGGATTTTTAGTGAGAGCTATTAAAGGGAGCGGGTGGCCGAGAACGTTTCCTCTGGTGAATGAAAATCAGAGGCTCAGAAATACAACTCGTGAGGTTAGTCTTGTGGTTAGCAAGTACTTTAAATTTGTGATCCCCCTGAGTCTATGAATTGACAGAGGGACTATCGACTTTTTCTCAGACAAAGCTGCAGTGCTCACAATTATGACTTGAAAAGAGCAAGGACCAGGAGTCCTGGGGCCATGGAAAAAGCTCAGCAGAACTAAGTTAAACCATTCCCGGTGCATGAATGTCAGGCCCTGGTCCTGCCTAAGAGGGGAGAAGAGGAGAAATGCCATTTCCTCCCTCCAAAGATTAATTTTGGCCTTGGAAACAACCTTCTGATTTTAATGTCATTAGTCAAACAAAACCGTCACTGACCGCACAAAGCTTCCATCAAGGCCTCCCCCCCCCCCCATCTAGCTGGTATCATATAGCTACTGTTTATCAGTAGCCTTAGCTACTGTTTATCAGTAGCCAGAGGGGAACACTGCTAACACAGAGAACAGAAAGTCTGATTTTTTTTTTTTTTAATTGAGTTCTGGGATACCTGGGTGGCTCAGTTGGTTAAGACACTGCCTTCGGCGCAGGTCATGATCCTGGAGTTCTGGGATCGAGTCCCACATCAGGCTCCCGGCTCCGCGGGGAGTCTGCTTCTCCCTCTGACCTTCTCCCCTCTCATGCCCTCACTCTCTCTCTCTCTCTAATAAATAAATAAAATATTTTTAAAAAATTGAGTTCTTTAGGGGCACTCAATCCAATTTTTCCTCAAGCTAGGAGTCTGTGTCCCTGCTCTTTTAAATAGATAAGAAAAGCCTAGGGAACAGAGTTCCCAGTGAAATGGTGTGGATATCTGCATGTGGTGGGCGCCTCAGGCTTGGTTCACACTGTCCTTGCATTTTTGAGAACCTTTTAGACCCCAGTCCTGAGGCCTCCTTATCTGACCTCTCCCCAAGTCTGAAAGAGCCTGCTCACCGGCTGGACAAAAGATGCTGCAGAAATGTCACTCTTCATGCCACGGTTTGCACTCAGTCGAGGAGATGACATGTCCCTGATGAAGAAGAGCACTTTGCCCGTGTCCCAGTCTCCCTCTCTTCGTTTTTAATATGATCTGGCAGCTCGAATTCAGAAGGAGGCTTTGCAATTAGGAGATCGAATCACAGCGTCTGTGTTAACAGCTCCCTTAGCTGCTCTAATTAGGGTTCCCTCCTTCCATTTCTGTTTCTCGGGAGAGGACAGGGGACTTTTTAATTGGGGCTATTAGAAGTTCTCTTTACACAATGACACCCTCTGCTAAGCGAAAGTTCCAGCAAAAGCCATGCCCACTCTGCAATTACTTCATATGGTTCTGAGGAATAATGGTATCTTGTCTCATTTAAAAATAAATCTAAGTCTTCTTCCTTATTGCTTTCTCTCCTCTGCCTACTCACATGAATTTCTTCTTGCCAATTAGGCAAACTTTCCATTATTTAAGGAGCTGGTTTTGATCATAACTGTCCCCAATAATAAGACATATTAAACTAGATTTCATTTGCCCACAGCTCCTTTCTCCCAGATACAAGGCTAATTTAAATGAGCTCAGATCATTCGATCTTGGGTCTATAGTGAGATGGTGAAGGGCTGGGAGTCCCAAAGCCGTCCTCTGTTGGCACGTTGCAAAAACTCACCTGAAATAACCCGCACGTTCAAGGTCCGCAGTTTCTCGGAATCCTGTCCTCTTAGGAGAGCAGAAGTAGGTTTGTATTTATGACCTATTCCAAGAAAAGAAATTAAATATTTAAATGATAAACAAACATATTCTTAATATGTATTCCCCCTGTTGATTCAAAGGATTACCGAGGAAAATGGGTCATTCATGACAGCTCCTGGAGTAACAAGACTTTAAAGGCTTTCCTCGTTAAATTATTTTCCATGAGCAAACACAGAAATCTTTCTAAAACAAGTGGTTTCTCCACTACCCTAAATACCATCATGTCGTCTCTAGCGAAAAGCACCAGCTCTTATGTATAGAATATTATATTACTTACCTTATTATATAGAGATGTACAGAATATTTAATGCATATTTAATATTTAATAATATTTAATGTCCTAAATGGTGTGACATGTTTCATTACTTTATACACTTGGATTTGGAAGGTAAGCTTTCAAAATCCACCAAGCCTGTCATTTGATTGAATGTTCATAAAATGTTCTGCTTTCTGCTACTGTTGCTTTCTAGATGCTTTCTCTAACTGGCTTCTGTCTCTATTTCCTAGTATGCAATTATATAGAAAAATGGATTAAGAAACTCAAAATGTGCACTATTTGCAAATAACATGTTTATGTAAAAATAATATAATTTTAAAATTAGAAAGACCTTGGTCTTGACTCTGACCTTTTTTTTTTTTAAAGATTGTATTTGTTTATTTGCCAGACAGGGATCACAAGTAGGCAGAGAGGCAGGTGGGGAGGGTGGAGCGGGGGGAGCAGGCTCCTCACAGGGAGCCCAATGTGGGGCTCGATCCCAGGACCCTGGGATCATGACCTGAGCCAAAGGCAGAGGCTTTAACCCACTGAGCCACCCGGACGCCCTGACTCTGACCTTTTGTTAGCCATATAACTTTGGAAAAACCGCTTAATCTCTCTAAGGTTCAGGGTTATTTTTTTATCTATAAGTAAAAATAATCATACACACCCTGTTTAAGTACTTGGATAATCTAGTTAAAAAAGAAAAAAAAAACTTGTGAAAATGCTCTGCAAATGGTTATTCTACAAATATACAATATTGATGATGTTATTATATATTAGCCTTATATACGAAGGTATCAATGGCAACACTTGATATGAAACTGCTCTCAGAAATACCAGCAACAGGGGCACTTGGGTGGTTTAGTTGCTTAAATGTCTGACTCTTGATTTTGGCTCAGGTTATGATCTCAGGGTCATGAGATGGAGCTCCACGTGGGGCTCTGTGCTGGGTATGGAGCCTGCTTGAGATTCTCTCTCCTTCTCCTTCCTCCCTTCCTCCCCTCCCCCTCAGGCCTGATTTTCAGCCAGTATATGCGTGGGTTACACACGAGAAGGGTTGGTATGTTAATGGGTACATGCTACGAGGGCCATAAGTCAATGTCCATCCTGATAGGTGGATGCCGGTGTCATAGTTGTTAAATATTCTTAATATCATCCTCATTGCCTGATTTCCAATTACACATTATAGCTCTGCTTGGCCAGAAATCTATTAACACCCTTACACCTATTAAAGATCGACTCCCACTCCCACGCATCACTTAGAGCCACTCTGCTCAAGATCTCCAACTCTGAAATTCTTGATCACCTGTTCTTCTCCCCTCTTCTGCCTTCCCTTCCACTAAGCCTCTACTCAACCTCCAGCCCCCGTCAGCTCCTGCCCCCACCTCCCCTCCTACACTCCTGTCTAGTAGTCAAAGATGCATGAACCTCCTTGAATGCTAACACTGTGTCTTACTCATGCCTATATTCCCCAGCTTACCTAGAACTGCCACTGACACATAGTAGTGCTCAATAAATGGCAAATTTAACTTTTAAAAGAATGTACATCTATAGAGAAGACCTGAACTGGATTGCCGCAAACAATGGATTTATTCCTCAATACTTACTCTGCCATTTCCACATTCTTCTGTGGCTTTCAAGTATTTTGTGGAGGGTGAGGATGAGAAAAAATATGAAAACAACTAGAACTAAAACATACCAAGTGATCTTCATGGAACAAGTGAAATCTGCAAAGAAAAAAATACTGTAAGAATACAATAAAGTGATGCAACAGAGAGAAGCCATGGGGTGAGGTGGTTGTGTTCTACGATATTCTCTGGCCTTAACTTAAAAAGCTGCTTATATAACCATCCCTATTATAGGGTCATTTATCCTCCTGACTTCCTCCCTGATAAGTTAAGTGAGTGTATTAAATGAGGAAATTTGACCAGGGAGCTTCCAGGGATCCCTTTGATTCCAAGATTCTAGGATTGATTTCGCTTCCGGGTTAGGCTGGTGTTGGTTTCCTCGTGGTTGCTATCCCTAAGCCAAGACTTCAACAAGCCAAGTCCCAGAATCAGGGCCATTTGTAATTAATAACTGTGGCCCTGGGCCACACAGTCAAAAATTATATCCTCAAATTGACAAAAGAGATAGTGAGTGTAAGGAAGATGGAGAGGAAAGAAAACGACAAAGAGGAAGGGCTGGACTGAGGCATGTAAGGGGCCAAGGCGCATGAATAATCAGAACCCCGTTCTGCACGGACTCACTGCAAGGATCAGATCGGGGCACACCTTAACTCAACACACAGTTAGTTACCCTAGGTAAAAACTAGTTAATTCAAATGACAGTGGGCACATGGAAGGGGAGGTCCCATCCAGCAATATTTTAGCACTGTCTCCTTTGGTCCCATAAAGATAGAGTGGCCAGCAGACCTAGGAATCAATGACATAACAGAAGGTGACCTCATCATGTCCAAGACATAACTATCTACTGTCTTCTCCGGCCACCCTGTGTACCCTCTTCCTTGCACACAAAACACAACACTTTCTCAAAGTCAGGAGGATATGTAACTTGTTTATACCCTTGAATGATTGCCCTTGTGAGGTTCACGATCTGAGTCCCTCCTTTCACAGGACCCACCCCCATGCGCAGACGTACATTATATAGCCATCCAACATTTATTTAGAAAAGAGGCAGAAGGCAGAAAAGGTAAAGTTTGTCTGGGATGGCAGCACTCAGCCTTTCACAAATCATCTCGTGCTATTCAGCTGCAAACTTCTTTTCCTTGCTCAGCAAATTAGAAGTATGCAGTCAGTTAACTGGAATGGAAGACTTAGAGTGCCAGCAAGAACCACGATGGTCCCAATGACCAAGGTGTCATTGGGCACTGATCAAGCTATGAAAAAAGCCCCATGCATTCACCAACTCAGTATAGCAATTGCAGAATGTGCACAACTGGGGTCAGGCCAGCCAGAACACCCACCCAAGCACCAGGGCAAATGCAGATGAGGGTGTGTCCCCACATCCTATGCTGCCCCCCTCTCCTCCCCACCCATCCTGGCAGTCATCTTGGAGAGGAGGAAGGGACAACAGACAGGAATCTGAAAGAACAATCTGAAGAGACAATTTAAATGATTGTTTCAGAGTAAATTTACCAGATTGGACTAAATTTATTTTCACACCCAGGTGGAGAGGGCTTTTAAAAGAGATCAAATTAGTCTCTGCCCAGCAGAGTAAAATATAAACAAATTTTAAATCTACACATGGCAAATGGATAGACATTTTCTAGAATACAGGACTACGTATTTGCGTACTACTGTTATCTTTCTGAATTATGGACCTAAGGAAGTTCTTAATAACTACTATTTCACTTTGACTGGCATGTATGGATTTTTTTTCATGAACACAAAAATACTCCCTGGAAATCATAATTATGGAAATGCTTCTTTTTCCTTTATGTTTTAGAAAACATAAAAAGCAATTAGGTGGATATGTGGAAATAAATATGATTTTAATATTTATAATCCAGACCACTTTATCTTTCAGACTTCATCACTGTCGTCTTCTTTATGCCATCCTTCCAAAGCCTACATTCCCACCTCACTCCTGAGCCTGAGGGAATTGACCTCTCTGTTCAGATCTTCTCAGATCCTCTCCCATGCCTGATTCACATACACACACCCTGAAATAACCCCTAACTACGGAGGCCATTAAGGGGCACTGAAGGCTGACTCATGAGAGAAATTCTTTTGAAGCCTTCTATTTGTAAATGTGAAAATGCATACATATTCTATAGTTGTGTTTGCTTGAAAATATAGTATTTTTTAAATAATTGCCTCTAAAAAAATTAAAGCTTTTTTAAAAAGTCATTCTGAGGCAAGAGGAAAGGCTTCGCTATGTCTGGAAGATCACAAAGCCCAGCAACTAATTCTACCATCGCACCTGTTTGACTGGATACACTTGCTCCATTGTTTTACATTCATCTATTTTTGCATTCCTAATTCTAGCACATTGCTTGGCATACAGTAGGGTGTATCATAAAATACTCTTCCAAAATAGATTTTATGGGTAAAGTGGGGGCACACGGCTTAGTAGAAAGGATCAATTGTGGTAATTTGGAAAATGGTGCCGAGGAAGCTATTAAGCTCTAGAAGTAAGATAGGTGTGATTTTCATCTTTTGGACACCTACCTTTCCCTCAGAGCTATCTGGTAGACCCAAAGTGCCGCATCTGCACCCTATCTCCATGGCTTTATACCAAATACCCCATTTCATTCAGTCCTGGTTCTCAACTCTAGGAGAAGATATATGTCAATTCAAAGTATGATTTTAATAGCCCCTCGCAATGTACGTGGCTATTTATATTTTAAAATAAATTTCACCCTTTAATACACCGGTGTGGTAGTGATGTTTCAAGCACAGCAAATAGGCATGTCCAAAGTTACTCTGAGGTCTTGCTAGTGCCCCCTCAAATCACAACCCACAGATGCCTTCTCTGCTTCTGAGTACAGCCAGACCTCAGGAAAAGCAAATTTTGGAAGAAAAAATAAACAGATAAAAGCACTAGCCTTCTTTCTAGTCATATTGTTGCATGAACAAAATTATTCAACTATTTAACTTTCAAAGAAGTTAACATGTTAGCCTTTATTTAACTTTGTATCCAATTCTCTTTTCCCTCTACCTTCCTTTAATACTTACTTTTGACATCCATTTCTAGGTGCAGAGAAATGTGTGTACAATTATTCAGGAATTCCATAGTCCTACAAGTATGGTTCATAGACTTTTCCCTGAGCGGATCTTCCTCAATGATTGCTGGCCTTCTCGTGCGGGTCTTTAGATTACAAGTCATGTTATACTTATCCAAGGGATCAACTGTAGGAGCTACAGAGAAGTTAAAATGTTGACAAGGTGAACGAACATCATTTGCCTTCACTTCCGTTGATCCTTTCATGATAAGAACTAGAAAGAGATTAAGAAAATGTTATTTGCAAAATAGTAATACATAGTAAAAAAAACCACACACCCATCAAAACTAAATACCATCCTTCCTCTACAAGAAAAAAGTAGAAATAAGAAGTTCCCTGCACTAAAAATAATGATTAAAGTGCTTACTTTTTTTTTTTTTTTAAGATTGTGAAAACCAGATGATAGTAGGGTTGAAATAGAATTGGAGCGTTTCAAAGAAAATATAGACATTTCCGGGATGACTTTTGGGACAGATTATAATGCTCCAAGCCAAAAAATTCCCCATTATGCCCATTATGAATCCCTGGCCAACCAGAGAAGATGGAGAAGGAGGAGGAAGGTGCCATTGTTTTAAGCCACTAAGTTTCAAGGTAATGTGTTTCACAGGCATAACAATGGGCATAATTTATCAGTGCACTGTCCTACATTTCAAGGAGACAGAAAAGTAGTATCTGTGAGTTACCAAGCCTTAATAGGTTTTTCTAGTTCTACTTCTCTGTCACCATAAAGGTATTTACCCAACTTGCTTTCTGGTGAACTTGACCCAGACCCTGCAATAGGTAGTGTTACTTAAGTAAGAACCCAGAAAAAGATCGATCTTTTAAACTTCTTTCAAAGTCAATGCCAAGAAATCTCATTCCCATTCTGAAAGAATGGAGAAAGATGCCAGTATGGGGTGATACAGGAAGCAATCTCAGCGAATAGGTATAAATAATAAATCTGATGCTTGGGCCTGAGGCCACTGGTATATTTTCTGACTACAAATGAGCTATTTAATTTTTCAGTGATGCAAGTTGATTTGATTCAATTAAATGATATATATTGATCTCAAAATAGATGTAAGATTCAGTTAGATATTACACATAATATGTAGTTAATCCTTCATTTGTTTATTCATTAAAAAATATTTATTGAACACTTAATGTCAGGCATTAGGCTAAGACCTGAAATATAGTGAACACAGACAAGTCTCCAACATTGAGCAGACAGACATGTAAAAAGACAATTCATACACAGTGGATAGATGTTAGGCAGGACAAGGTACAAATGTGTCAAGGATTCAATGACTTCTTAGAAAATCCAAGTTTGATTTTACTTTTTTAATTTTTAAAAATCCAATACCTTTGGAAAGAACCTGCTAAGTACTATTTTAGTGATCAAAGGTACATAAATTATGGTGGCATTTTGATGTATTTTATTTTTAATTATTTTTTTATTTTATTTTTTCAATGTTCCAAAATTCATTGTTTATGCACCACACCCAGTGCTCCATGCAATACATGCGCTCCTTAATACCCATCACCAGGCTCCCCTATCTCCTCACCCTCCTCCCTCCAAAACCCTGAGTTTGTTTCTCAGAGTCCGCAATCTCTCATGGTTCATCTTCCCCTCTGATTTACCCCACTTCACTTTTCCTTTCCTTCTCCTAATGTCCTCCATGTTATTCCTTATGCTCCACAAGTAAGTGAAACCATATGCTAATTGACTCGTCCGCTTGACTTATTTCACTCAGCATAATCTCCTCCAGTCTTGTCCATATTGATACAAAAGTTGGGTATTCATCCTTTCTGATGGCTGCGTAATACTCCATTGTATATATGGACCACATCTTCTTTATCCATTCATCTGTTGAAGGACACCTTGTCTCTTTCCACAGTTCAGCAATTGTGATGTATTTTAAAAGTAGATATTTTGTTTTTGATAAAGTAAACCAAGAACAAGTAATAACCCAAAGCACTACAGATCACAAGCCACATATCAAAAGCCACATTTGTTGAGTGTTCTGATACCATTGGCTTTTAAATGGGAATATATTATTCCTTTTTTAACAGACTAAGATAATTTATTCTTGATAAACTTTATTACCATTTTATAGTTACCTTTTGATGTTTGTTCCTGAAAAATAAAATCCATGCTTTTTTTGGACTCACAAGCCAAACATGAGCACATTTTAAATTCACTTGTGAAGCCTTGGCAAATCCTGGTGAAGTTTTGAAAGTTGGAATGATTTAGAAAGAGTCCCATAATAGTCTGCGTTTCTCTTACTGGTTTCAGAAAAGTCACAAAAGAAAAATTCAAAGAGCGGAGTGAATAGTTGAAACTAGGTTGTAAACATACTTCCAGACATGAGAGCTCCAATACATTTCCTGTAAAGGAAAAAGATATTGACTATGAAATTCTCAGGTTTTATCATTCAAATAAATACACAGTAAGTTCCCAGTTTTTCTTAGATGGATACAGTATATTTCAGCTTGTCAGTGACAAGACTTTTTTATACGAATCAACATTTACTTTATTTAAATATTTCTTTCAAAGATTTGTACACATTCCCTGATAATTTTCATAGAAGAGAACTAGAGACATTCTTGGAAACCCTTAACATTTTAACCATTATCTCCTGGAAAAGCTCTAGAGGCCAGAAGTTCAACACCAATTTTACTGGTCTGAAACCTACATGTTTGCATGACCACCAACCCTTTGAAGGCTCCAGGGAAGCCTCTGTTCCTTGACCCTCTTCCAACTTTTGGTGGCTGTTGGCATTCCTTGGCTTGTGGCTACCTCACTCCAGTCTCTTTCTGGTTAATGTTACCTTCTCTCCTGTGTCTCTGACGTCTACTCTTCTGTCTGTGTCATTGCCCTCTGCCTCTCTCTTATAAGCCTCTTAGACAGGACACCTGCAAGTGGATTTAGGTTCCACCTGGGTAATGCAGAAGTCTTTCCCCATCTCAGGATCCTGAAGTTAATCACACCTGTAGAGACCTTTTTTCCTTGTAAGATAACATGTACAATTTCCAGGCTTTAGCCCAGGATATCTTTGGGCAGTCATTATTCAACTTATCTGGTTCTCCAAAGATGAAATTGAACAGGGTAACATCATAATTTTTATTTTTGTCTGAAGACAAACATCAGACATGGAAATGAGGATACAAAAGGAAGAACACCACCTTCAAAATAAAAGACAAGGACTCCAGTGCTATACCTGTCCTTAGGCAAGACACTTGGATAATTAACTTAATCTCCATTAAGTCTCATTTTCTCATCAGCAAAATAGAGGCAGTAACTCTAGATCCTGCTAACTTCATAGTAGCATCAAGTGGTATCGTACATATGAGAACACTTCTGAAATTTGTACAAGTGTATATTATTTAAAATTCAAACCTATAGGGACATGTGAGTGGCTCAGTCAGTTAAGCGACTGACTCTTGGTTTTGGCTCAGGTCACGATTTCACAGGTCATGGGATCAAGCCCCACTTTGGGCTCCACACTCAGCACAGAGTCTGCTTGAAGAGTCTCTCCCTCTGCCCCTCCCACCACTCATGCACATGCTCTCCCTCTCTCAAATAAATAAATAAATCTTCTTTAAAACATTCAAAGCATATTCCAAAATGAAAATTAAAAATTCAAACTTCATTTAGGGTAGGATTATCTGTGGTTCAATTCACATGAGTAATTAAAACTCACTGTATAAAAAATGGAGAATCTCTATTTAGCAGTAATGATCATTTAAGGAATAGGTAACCTCTTTCAGGTATCCCTAGTCTAACAGTCATCTGCTAGTATGAAAAAATAACTCACATGCTCAACTGTACCTTTATGTGGCTTTCTTTACCATTTCTTGTGTAATCATATAGGGCAAAATAATTGTTTTTAATTTTTCTAAATAATGTGGAACACAACAAAAGAATCATTTTAGTTCTTACAATGATTACTCTTATTCATAGAACTTAGTTCAATCTTAAGAGAAAAAACAGGCAATTGATTGATATTAAAGAATTTTTTGTTTGCAGAATTTGTACTTTAATAGTAATACCATAAGTGTCTCATTGCTGATGATTATATTTTTATTATTTAAGAAAATTAGAGGCCTGGGGCACGTGGGTGGCTCAGTGGGTTGAAGCCTCTGTCTTCGGTTCGGGACATGATCCCAGGATCCTGGGATCAAGCCCCACATCAGGCTCTCTGCTCAGCAGGGTGCCTGCTTCCTCCTCTCTCTCTCTCTGCCTGTCTCTCTGCCTACTTGTGATCTCTGTCTGTCAAATAAATAAAATCTTAAAAAAAAAAAAAAAGAAAATTAGAGGCTTATTACCAACCTCTACCTTTGAAGTTGTTTCTGCAATAATTCACTTGTGATTTCCAGCTATAAACATTTCATACTTGAGTTGCTATAAAGGTTTTTCAGGGGAGAAAATGGTATTTTATTCAAATCTATATTTTATGTCTTAATATATTTATAAGCAAAGTTGGGACCAAATTGTAATTAACTTTTAAAACAACTATGCTCAGTAAGAAGGTCCCAGGAAGGAGATAGAAATGTACCATCTGATGGAACTCTATAATCTTTGGGTTTTTTATACTACCAAAACATACAAAAACACTTCCTGCCATGTTTCTATTTTACTCACTGGCATTTTTCATCTTACAAAATTTTCTATTTCTTGACCTTATAGTCCTATGATACAACCAAGATAGGGAAATAGAAAAATTTTTGCTATATATATTACAGTCCTCTTATCCAATAAGTGACCAGCCAGGCTTTCTAGAATTAATGATACATCCTTTATATTTGACTGCGAGGTCATTTTATGAAGGTTTTTAAACTTTGGTTTTAAATAATTCAGTCAGAAAGGAAATAAATAGAAGATATCCTTCTCTCGTATAATCTGAAGAAATAGTGAATTCTATTCAATCATTTTTGTTATCAGGTGGGCTATATTCTCGTCTCCATAAACAAGGATATATGAGTTTAATTACTGCCATTTTTATTGCTAGGAGTCAGACACCTAAATTCTTACTCCCATAGATAGAAATGCATTCCAGAATTATTCCAGTACTATGACTGCAATCTCTCAGCATAAGTATATAGAACACTAAATAGAATCAGGAAAATATATTACAGTACAGGACAAATGCTCAAGTCAATCTTTTTTTTTTTTTTTTTCAGAAAACCAGAGAATAAGGCTAAAGAAACAACTATCTTTATTTTCTTTTTTAATTTTTGTTATAAAACTTTATCATCAATAAGTGTTTGTAAAAGGTTGGTGCCAGTTAAAGAATAATAAAGATAGGGATGGCTGGGTGGCTCAGTTGGTTGAGGGCCTGCCTTTGGCTGGGGTCACAGTGGGGAGTCTGCTTCTCTCTCTCTCTCTCTCTCTCTCTCTCTCACTTTCTCCCTCTTGCTCTCTCTCTCAAGTAAATAAGTAAACTTTTAAAAAATAATAATAATAAACACCATGTATCTATCATACATCTTTAGAATATCAATATTACCAATATTTTTGAAACACCCTATCCCTCCCTATTCCTACATAATCCTTTCCCAGAGATTAACCACTAGCATGAATTTTGTGTTTATCACTCCTTTGTTTTATCTTAGAGTCTTGGCAAAATGTATATTTTCCTAAATAACATTGTTTCATTTAGCACATTTTAGACATGTGTGTATATATGTACATGTATATAGAGATATACTTTATGTATTCATCTGTAAGTTGCTATTTTTAATATGTTTTAGTTGTGTTGCTACATATAGCTATGGTTAATTTTATTATCTCTGATATTCTTTTGAATGACTATACTACAATTTATTCATTCTTCTGACAGTAAACATTTGGGTTGTTTCTATTTTTGCTACTTTGCAACATGAATAATGCTGCTATGAACTATAGCCCTCATCCATTGTTGGTAGGAACAAAAAACAGAGCAACCACTTTGGAAAACAGATTTACATCTCTCATATGTTAACTATATGCTTAGTATATGACCCAATAATTCTACTAAGAATTTAAGAAGAAAAATCAAAATACCTGTACATGAATTTTTACAGCAGTTTTTTTATTTGTAATAGCCAAGAACTGGAAACAATCCAAAAGCCCAACAACTAGTGGATATTAAAGCAATTCCTGGGGAGCCTGGGTGGCTCAGTAGGTTAAGCATCTGCCTTCGACTAAGGTCATGATCCTGGGGTCTGAGGATGGAGCCCTACCTTGGGCTCCCTGCTCAGTGGGGAGCCTGCTTCTCCCTCTCCCTCTGGCCCTCACCCTGTTCATACTCTCTTGTATGTGTTCTCTCTCTCTCTCAAATAAATAATTTTTTTTAATATTTTATTTATTTATTTGACAGAGAGAGATCACAAGTAGGCAGAGTCAGGCAGAGAGAAAGGAGGAAGCAGGCTCCCCGTGGAGCAGAGAGCCCGATGCGGGGCTTGATCCCAGGACCCTGGGTCATGACCTGAGCTGAAGGCAGGGGCCTCAACCCACTGAGCCACCCAGGCGCCCCAAATAAATAATTTTTTTAAAAAATTAAAGCAATTCCTGACATATCTATATAATAGCATGCTACTCAGAAAGAAAATACTGATCCAAACAACAACATGTACAAAATGAATCTCAAGTGCGTTAAGAAAGGAAAGGAAACCAGATACAAGCGATTACATAGTTTGTTATTCCGTCTATATGAAATCCTAGGATATATTGACAGTGGGAGAAGCATTCTTCTGCAGAGGAGAAAGAGGGACCTTTGCAAGGGGAAGGGGGGGGTGTTGGAAGATTGTATATCTTGATTTTTGTACTAATTACATTGGTGTAAACATTTGTCAAACCTTGAACTAAACACTTAAAATGAGAGTATTTTATTATATGTAATTTTTATCTCAAAAAATTTCATTTTTGAATAATGCTACTATGAATATTCATGAATGTATCTGCTGGCACAAAAATACAGAAGTTTCTCTGGTATACACACTGAGTAAAATTGCTAGGTATTCAGAATGTGCATCTTTGATTTTTCTAGAAAAATGTCAAATCATTATCTGAAGTGACTATACCAATTAATACTCTAATGTGTGATGTATGGAAGTTCCCACTGACATACAGCTTGGCCAAGGCTTTTCAAGTTTTGCCAGTTTAGTAAGCATTAAACAGAATCTTATCATGGTTTAAAGGTGTATTTTCTTCTTTTTTTTCTACTTTTCCATTTTTTCTGTTAGGTTGTCTTTTTTTAAGATTGTATTTTTTTGAAAGTGAGAGAGGGAGAAGCGGACTCCCCACTGAGCAGAGAGCCAGATGCAGGGCTTGATCCCAGAGCCCCGAGATCATGACCCAAACCAAGGGCAGACGTCTAACCAACTGAGCCACCAAGGAGCCCTGT